TGATGTGATGTGTGTGTGTGTGTGTGTGTGTGTGTGTCACGAAATTCATAGCACGCGTCGCAGCAGTCGTTAGGAGCTGATTTTTTGATATGATATAGGGGGGGACGGGAACATATTTGGTGGGGGTCACAAAGTGATAACGACTGATAAGAGCAGATAAGAGGCGCTGAAACACAAATTTCACGAAATTCATAGTGCGCCTCGCAGTAGTCGTCGGAGCTGATTTTGGGGCATGATATAGGGGGTGGGACGGAAATATTTGGTGGGGGTCAAAACGTGATAATGACAGATAAGGACTGATAGTATCGATATGCGTACGAACGTAGAGAGCCCTTGAAATAGAAATATAGAGAGCAGATTGTAGATGCCTTTCATTTCAATATCATTTCATCAGCGTTGTAATTGTAAACTCAAACACCTTTCGACCGCTACACCTTCTAGAGTTCTTGAGGATGAATGGGATGCTCGAATAAATATGATAATGAATACTGGCATTCCGTTTTGAGATATTCGACCGCTAAATTACCTCGATACTCGACGCATAGTGGTTGTTTACATCATCACTTTAGCTGTGCACTTCACTGCGCTTATCAAACAGTGAGATACAGCCAGCCTATGCAACGGACAGTAATACATTTAAAGCAGCTATAATTTAGCGACGAAATATGTGTGTCTGTATGTATGTATGGAAGTATGTAGCGCCATGCTCGACTCTCGATGAACCTCGGCATATTAGTGATTGATGGTATAGCTTTGTTGAACTGCACACGAGGTTGATATTGACAGTTTATTGGCTAACGTTTCGGCGAGTTCGCCTTCTTCGGAGCCTAAAAGGATGGAAGTCGAGTTTATGAGTATCCGACCAAAAATCTCCACACACCTACTAGATCTTCGACACCACCTAATCATCACGTAATCACAAGGGAGAAGAAACACCGTACCTTTACCAGATCCACTGGATCAGCCAACGACAAGCACAGTACAGTAAGACTTCGGGTGGACCGTATTCAGGGTACCGGTTGGAAAGCCAGGCTTATATAGGGGCTAACTCCCGCGTAATTGACAGGCATTCTTCCCTCCGGTTCATTTTTGGATTCCTGACATGGATCCAGAATGCCTCGAGGGTTTTGCGCGCGGAAATTTGGGTCTCTGCTCCAGGACCTCTACCGTGACCCCGAAATCGTCCCCATTATGACACTGGACCCTGTGGCAACCCAACGCAGTGGAAACGCGCGACTAGCCTTGCCATCCAAATGTTCTTTAACCCGCACATAAAGTGGTCTGGCCGTTTCGCCTATGTACTCGTCTCCGCATAATTCTGCAGGAGATTTTGTAGACCACCCCAGCCAGCGCGCAATCCCCTTCCCTCCCAGCAGGGCAAATTGTGCAGTCCGAAGTTAGGCATCGACGATCGTAAAGGCGATTCCGAACCAGGCGGCGCTTTAAGTTGTTGGGTGGGACTTCCACGATGCCAACTGTGTTGTTCAGGCCCCACCTCCTCAGACACTTCTTTATAGAAGCGGTAACTTCATCGGAGATGAAGGGTATGACGAAGGGAATTTTTCCAAGGAGAGGGTTATCCCTCCTGTTTGTCCTCACACTTGCCCTCATTCGATGCATAGGTGCGGCAAGAGCCGTTCAGCCCAGCGATTTCTCGTGCCATTTTTATGGACTCCTTTCTCTCATCCTCTCCCGTGCAGACATTTTTGGCAGTTCGGATCATGTTCCTGATGACTGCTCGTTTTGTTTGGAGAGGATGTGCTGAACGAAAATGAACGAATGATATTCTTGCTGCTGGGCTTTCCTATACCACCTGGTGAAATGGGTGCCTCCCTCAAACCTTGACTTGGACGTTGAGGAATGGGAGCCACTTGTTGGAAGGCTTTTCTCGTGTTAGTTTGATATGCTCAGCCTGTTGGTTCTTGAGATCAAAACATTTGTCCAAGTAGGTGCCAGGCGTTGTCCCATTGCTAGGCCTCTAGTCTGCGCAAAATACATTCCTGACCACCTGAAGATGTTGCAATTGAGGCACTATTCGAGTAGCACCATTAGTTGACCTATGGAGAGTCCATACATGTTGACCTCGTCATGATGTTGACTGAGGAGCTCGGAAATCGCCGCCATGGCCGCAGTATTAGTGACGTTGGTGTAGAGGGACTCCACGTCAAAAGACCCCATAACACAGGTGGTGTTCAGACGCATAGTACTGAGATGGTAAGTATGTATGTCCGTCTGTCCGTCCGCAAAATGAAGTGAGTGATAAGGAAGCTCATGGAGTAAACAAACCGCTAACAAATCGGGTAGCTTACAGGATTTGAGATATCAATGTTTTGTAGCAGGATAGTTGTGATAACACTCTTAGGGCTATATAAACACCTGCTTAGCACACTTCCGTTCATTCCACATGGTGCTGCAGTGGCAGCTGGAGGGCAGTGGAGGAGGAGGGAGGA